AATACAAACCTGCAAAAATTTGGGAACACATAATCCCCCAAAGGAGTTTGCTCTCTCTTGTCACTCTTGGCTCTTGGCTCTTGTGCCTCTCTTGTTCCCCTGGTATTGCTCCTGCTTCCTTGCATTCGCCGGTGTTCATAAAAGGTGCACAGCCCATGGCATGCAGACCCCACACACAATGGACTGATAGGCTGCAGCTGGGAACACAAACTAAGCTAGCCTGATGCTGGATTGGCGACTGCTCCAACATCGAACGGAAACTCTGGGCAACAGCTTTAAGCCCAGCCCCGCTAAAGGCACAGCTGGACTTCTTCCTTGGTGGGACAAGGGAAATGGGACCTTGGAAACTCAGGGGTTTAATTCCACAGAAATAAAGCTCTGTGGGAGGGCAGCGGCCTAACTTGGATGAGCCAGTCAACAAACCCTGAAGGGGCTCACTTGGAACATACCTTTCCACATTGTGTGACTTTTCACTCCTCTGACTCTACCGAGTCCCTGCTCAGCCCCCTCCCTCCCTATTCCCTTTAAAGATACCCAATCACCCCTGTGCAAATTGAAGTTTGCAGTTCATCCTGGATTCTTTTCCCTATTGCAACAGTATATTACTGATTAACACCTGTCCTTACCACTTTACCTAGTGTCTGGTTTTATTTTTGCTTTCATGTTTCTTTACAGAACACAACACTTATTTCATTAGCTATTCATATTTCCATACCACTTCCACTTGGTCCCTATAAAGAAATCTGGGGGGAAAAAAAAATACATCCCTCCCCTGACTAGCAATTTCTGTAAGTAGCGGTAGCAATTTTTTTAAGTTCTTGACAATTTTCTGAATTTAGCATGTTGTTAGAAAGGTTGTCAGATTTTTTTTTCCTTTTGATTCTTTCTTTCAGAAAATGCTACAAACTCAAGACTCCAACTCTCCCCGAACTTGGCAGAAGCAGCACAGACACAGCGCTTTGGGGATTAGGAGTGGTCACCCCATGAGAGACTTCAAGGACTATGAAGAGGAGTAGGGTTTTAAAAAATGTAGTGATCTCAGCAAAAATGATTTGGGACATCAGTACACAACTGAGAAAACATGAGTTCAACAGCTGGGAACCACTGGCCTGACGATAGAGTAAAAATAATGATGGAAACATTTGTGTGATCACAGATGATCACAGGCCTATATCCGCACAGAAGTTAAAGCATGTTCACTGTTGTTAATTTATACCCAGCAAGCACTGAATTATGCTGAAAACATTCGTCAATTGACTGGCGTGTTTGTGTGACAAAAAGAGAATGAGAGCACTAGACTGAGTTTTCCAAGTTGAATTTATTCATTTCTTCAAGAACAAGAGCTGTGTTTTTAACTTTTTAGGGGTGAAAATGTCTTATAAAATTATGCTGATAGGCCTTAGAATAATGTTATTTTTCCCGGAAGCCAACCCGACAGCAAGGATGTGAGTACAAGCGGTCGGGCTGGCTGGTGAAGGGAACACCTCTAAGGCAACGGGGGTCAGACAAGGAGAAAGGCGACCAGAACGGAGTGTTGCCAAGCCAGCTGTCACAGGGACGGGAGCTGAATCCAGTGAGGAAAAGGGATACTCTGTACCCTTCCCCAGTTTCCTGACATGTCAGCGTAGATGCACGGCCTGAAGGAACGGGCCACGGAGACTGACCATGAGAGTAATTTTATTTATTTTTACTGTTCTCACCTTGGCAAAATAATGTCAGTCGGTGTTGGTTCCCCACTTACCCTTTCCAACTCTCCCCCAGTGAAATCCAAGCATCCGAAAGCCTGGGACACTGACCTGCAGCCCGAGGCCGTGTCACTCGGCAGCAGCTGGCAGGGCAGCTCCGGGGGAAGGGGCAGGTTCCTGCGGCCACTCTGCGCAGGGCGACTCGCGGCAGCAACGGAACCCACCGAGGGGTGCCCTTGCTGGCCCTCAAGCCCAGCAGCGGCCCCGATGCTTGCCTTCCTGAGCCCCTCCTCCCCGACATCCTTTGGAAAGACGACTCGGTTTGGAGAGGAGGAGCCGTTTTGGATGCGGTCTGAGCAAGGTTTGCTGAGCTCCCCTCTCAGCAGGGCTTCGGGGACTCCTGCGGCGCCACCCAGCCTTCCTGAGGGCCGGCCCACGGTCACAGCAGCTTCTGCACAAACGCTTATGACCACGCCTGTGGCCAACAAGGTAATTCTCAATGTCAATACATAAAAATATAAAGCAACTCTGTTTTTGAAAGGAACATATTGGGACGAGTGGAAGGAGGAGTAATTATGAATTTAAATAGTAATATGGTAACACTCAAAAATGATTAGGGACTCAACTTGTTAAATTGTTCTAGAGAAATGAGTTCCCATCTGTTTAGCTTGCTTGGTATAATACTTAGAATGGGGAACTTGTATTTTTTTAAGTGGAATTTAAGGCCACAGTTGAAAAATAGCAGTGAAGTTCCCACCTCTGGAGCAGTGTCCTGCTGGCCTTGCCAGAGGCCCTCAAACTGAAGACAGAAAATGTTAACATTTAGTGAACAATTATTCTGCGTTAGAAACTTACACTTACTCTCATTTGATTCAACTTTATAATGACTATGACAGCCCAATGCGATGGGCATTATTCTCGCATGTACGGATGAAGAAATTGAGACCTGGGGAACCCCGGTTAATTTACCAAGCCTCAGGCGGCTCACAGGTGTTAGGCCTGGTATTCAAACCTGTCTGACGCCAGACACCAGCTCTTCACCATTTTTCTGTTGCTTCCAACATTAGCCTTGTTTTTTAACCCTCTCCCTTTAGTCTTCTGCAAGGTCTCAGAGATCCAGAAACTCAAAAGTGATTGTCAGTCCTAATAATTCATGTGTACACTTTTATTTTTTTATCTTTATTGATTTCTGAGAGAGGAAGGGGGAGGGAGAGAGAGAGAGAGAAACATCAATGATGAGTCATTGATCGGCTGCCTCCTGCACGCCCCCGACTGGGGATCGAGCCCACAACCCCGGCGTGTGCCCTGACCGGGAATCGAACCACGATCTCCCGGATCCTAGGTCGATGCTCAACTGCTGAGCAACGCCTGGCAGGGCTATGTGTACGTTTTTAAACAGCAATTTAAGTTTTTTTCTTTTGACCTTTACCAATCTTGGCACTAATTACCAAAATTACTTTTAACCTCGAAAATTGTAATCATACCTACCAACATAACAACCCAAGGAGTAGTCACCAAGGAAACAGTCACTAGCACAACATTTTATTTGCAGCACATTTCAAATTGCCCCTTCTGTCCACAAGCAGGCCCTTCTCCCTTCCTCTTCCTGGCGTTTATAGCTCCTACTCCAAACCAATGACATGCCAAAGGGCGTGAGAAAATGACAGCCCGGAGCATTTCTGAGAGTGCTTAGTAAAAACAGCATGTGGAGGGGGTGGTGGCGGGGGCATGGTGTTTCTTGACAGTAAGGTCATTTGAAAAAGTTGCTTTTTGCAACCTGATCCAATAGCTATTTCATCACGCCTTTTAATGTTCTATGCACAGTATAGATGTAGGCCAATAAATTTTTTTTTTAATATATCTATTGATTTCAGAGAGAGGAAAGAAGAGGGAGACATAGAAACATCAATGATGAGACAGTCATTGATCGGCTGCCTCTTGCATGCCCCTAACTGGGGATCGAGCCCACAACCCGGGCATGTGCCCTGACCGGGAATCGAACCCCGATCGCCTGGATCCTAGGTTGACGCTCAACCGCTGAGCCATGTCCAGCCAGGCTGTAGGCCAATAACTGAATACTGTCCATCAGTTTTTTTTAAAATGCAATAGGCAGAATTTATTGGTACTTTTTAAATTTCTTTTAACATATACAATTTATTAAAAAATGCTTTAATATAAACTTTGTGTGCATATATAATTGAACTTCAATCTCACCCTGGAGTAGGCCAGGTAGCATTTGAAGGACCCCAATCTGGTGGGTGCTTTAAATAAGTCACCTAAATCTACACCAGTGTTAATCAGCATAAGGGATATTAGTAATATTTCATTAACAAAAGGAACTTGAAGGTAAGTGGTTGCCTAGGAAAATTTTGAGAGGCAAAAATGCATGAAATGAGGTATAAGAATATGGCAGATCCTGCAAGCTCATGACTTTTATTAGCTCGAGTCTAGAGCTCTGTTTGCCCCTGTGCCACCTTCCCCTGAACCCCACACATTTAAGACTGTTGCTGATCCAATTAGGTTACTTAATCCTGCCTTCAGAATATTATTGCTTCTGCTTCACTGTGAATCTTTCAGTCAAGGTGTCTGCGTGATTATGAGCAGGGAAGAATCTTCGCCAAGCTTTCCATGGCCTTGCTTGCTAATATTTGTTCATGTGAAAGAACTGTTTTGCTTTTACTGTAATATACCACCAGGTAGTGAGGTTATGCAAGGGACATATAACTTTACCGTCCAGTAAAAGCTGGTGACTATCTACCAAATGAATCTGTGATTGGTGACGGAACTGGCCTAGAGAATCTGCAGTGAGGTGGAGGGGAACTGCAAGTCCATCCACCCTCATTCCATGGTGAGCGTTATTTGATCCCTGAGCACTGCCATTAACGTGGTGCCTACAGAAGACCTCTGTAGACCTCTTAACTGAACTTCAAGAGCTGGACAGAAAGCAATTCAGCCATTTGGGTCAAAGTCATCCTTTGGCAGTATCATTCTTAAGACAAAGTTAAGAATTTTATACCACTTCTAATTAAAACTTGATTACTCAAAAGGCTTTCAGTTTGCTAATGATTGCTCAAGTTTAAAAATATAAATTAAAAAAAAAGTCAAAATAGAACTATTGCTCTAATTTTAAATAAATATATTCTATATACCTGTTCAGAGGAAGCTGAGAAAATGTCATTGAGGACAAATGAAGGGCAATTGGAAAACTCAAGAATTAACATGAGTAAAATTGTAACATAGGAGAAACCTAAAAGTAAAACTATGTCAGACACATTTAATGTTTCATGCTAGGTTGATTTAAGTAAATAAAACAACTTTGTTGAACAGACATTTTTAATATGATTATGTGTACACGGACAACTGGTTATTGGGAAAACCTCCAAATTAACGTTTTAACAAATTACAGCTATTACTAAAGACGATATGCTTGGATTTTAAGGAAATAGTCCAATAAATGAATAGTCTCTCATTCGATGGAGTAGATTAACCAATCTCTCTTTTAATAAAAACCAATACACTACAGTGCTAGAAGTTTACCTTTTTATAACTCCACATATACACATGTGCTCACTCTCCTTCAATATTTAGTCACCTGTAGCCTCTCAAATGGTAAAATAAAATGGAATTTATATGAGGAGATGAAAGTGCAAGTTTGTACAGCTAAGTTCAGCAGCAAAAGTAAAGAAGAAAGCAAAGTGAGAGCTGATGGGTGCCACGCAGAACGAGGACATTCGTGACTGTGTCCTGCGTGCCAAACACAGTCAACGTCCCATCGTTTTTTCATTGCTCTTAAACGAGCAAAACCAAATTCTTTGTTTTATTTAAAGAAATATTTATCCCCCCTCCCCCCAGCATAATTTGTCATCAGGTAAGGCAAAGATAAGTCCCACCATCACTGGGGACAGCAGCAATACACAGACTTTGGAAATAACCCTGAATCATCAGTAACATTCTCTCATGGTAACATAAGGAATGAATCTAATAAATGAAATCTGCACTGTAGTCATATTATTCTAATTTATTTGATTAGTTTATCTAGAAAGACTTTATAAATACATTATTTAAGAGGACAGTAAATTATTTTCTTGCTCTGAAAAAATAATGTTTTTTTTCTTCACATTTAAAAACAGTTTAGTAGGCTTTTGGAAAACGAGATGCAAGGATGTGACTGCTGGGTTTGCAGAATGTCCATGTACAAGTTACATTTACAAGAACCTGCTGATCTGCCAATAATTTGCCTCTACAAATAGAGCTCTTTGCAATATTATTTAAACAAACAGGCTTAATTTAAACACCTCTCCTATTCACTCTACTTGTAGAGCAAAGAGGTACTTATTTTTCAAGTATTGCATCGTAAAAGGTAAATTTTTGTGTGCCAATTTTACCTGTTAGCTTTTAAAGACTGAATATCTATGTGAAAAGTCATGCCAAGTCAGCCAATTTCTTTTACAGCCAAATGCTCTCATCTTTCAGAGAATTAAAAAAAAAAATTTGCTAAAAGAAGTTCACTGGAAAAAGCCATTTTAAAGTACTGGAGAACGTGGAGCATTTCTTTTTTTCTATTGGCGAAATTATTAGAAAAGCTTTCCAGTCTGTTGTCTTTAGCTGGTTTTAATAAAGTCTTTTCAAAATGATGGTCAAGGAATCTTTAGAAAACTGGAGGATGGGGGATGCTCCTTTACGGCATGGAAGGAATTCCATTAATTGTAGAAATTCTTATTAAATTCCTGCTTTGGTTCTCCAGAAGAAATTCTCATATAACTTCTATATTAGGAGACAGAAAAAAAGAACAGATTAATATACTTACCTAAAATCTTATTTAAAGAATGCTATAGTAATATCTTACATTTCTAAAACTTCACCATGCTTTTAAGAATAGGCAGTTTTATCAGGATTCATGATCACATATTTAAGTGAATTCTACCACTAATAGGAAAACACATGTCCTTCACTTCAAGTTTGGCTATCTCATTTACTTTTCTAAACTGCACACCACGATTGTACTTTTCTCTTTGAGGTTAGGGAATTACATACGTCTTTGTATCCTTAGTACCTGATGCTTCTGTCTCCAAATATATGTTGGAGATTAAATAACTGTTTGTGAATAAATAGTCATGCCCCCAAAAGAACCCTTATATCACTTAAGATCACAGACATTGGACTACTTTCCTATAGAAGGTCTGGAGGGTGGGCACAGTGAGAATGGAATGTGGATAAATCGAGAGGTGACTGAAGGCCTGACAAGTGAAGCAGAAAGTCATCTTGGATGTTCCTGCCCTCTGTGAATCTGTGATATGACAAAGCAGCAAGCTGACCAGCAGTGTTTCCAGCTGGGATGGGCCTTACAGCTTCCTTTACAGTCTCGAAAAGTGGGTCACTACAGTGAAGCTATACTCCCAAAGTCAGTACATTAGAGAAGTAAAAAAGACTTATTTGGATAGGTGGTTCAACATTGGCTTTTTCGACAATTTAAAGTGGGAAATATTTGTTACAAGTTCACTGATGGAATGTAAAAGAAAAAACAATTTGATCACAAATAATTCTTTACTGACTCCATTTAAACATGCTGAATTTGGCCAGTTCAGTTCGTAACAGTGTAATAAAGATATGCTGGTCAATACATGAAAGTGATCCGCTGGGAAGAGACACTGATAGAATTCAGGGATTTGATAAAAGATGGAGCTGGGGTTATCCTACTAGTCCTTGAGACTAACGGGACCTGGCTGGTGAGCTGCTATGACCACTGAGTTGGTAACTTTTGATGTACTCCTTGTATCTTTGGGCGCGTTAAAGCGACTGTTCTTCTGGTACAGACTTCAGATTAAGTGTGAGTCCCAGAGACAGAGTACAGGAGAGTCACTGGCGGTTTCAACAGCAGCTATAGTTACTCAAGTTGGGATGGAAGGCCCTTGGGCTCAGCGAGCTCCTAGTTGGGACGATGGTTCCATTACCGAAATCGTAACTACCTCGTGACAGGAAAAAGGACAAGAGTACACGGCCCGGGCTGCTTAACCCAAACAGGAGGAAAACGACGGCGGAACACGACGGCAGTCTTCAAACATCGCAAGAGCTGAGAAAGATGGAATAAAAACCAAACACCTTTTCTCCAGTGGGCAGAACTAGCCCAATGGTCCCCAGCTTGTGTCGAGGTATTAAGTGCTTGTCTTTCTCTGACGCACACTGGGTAGTGAGCGCTGTTCCAGGAGAACAGGCCCATGGACCCCCAAAGGGTGCTGCACGCTGAACTGCCACACTGGGTAGAATAGGAGGGGCCCTAGTAATTGTCCAACCCAGCTCAAAATTCAATTTCTTTGATGCCTGAATAATCTTGTCCCTGTGGCTTATTTGGTCCATTAGAGGGCAAAGCGTGCCACAGTCACACTGAAGAAGGTCCATTCCCTCTTGGGTGTCACATATATCTTGATAATTACTGAAGGGAATTCGCAGCAAGCTTACCTGCTGTCTGTTGTGTCTGAACACCATCTACCTGAGGCAGGGGCCCAAGCGTCCCTTCATCTTCAAAGGCCAAAATTGGATTCAAAGGAATCTCTGGGTTCTCACTATTGGTGACATCTAATCTGGATGGTTTAGATCCAACGGGTAAGTTTATGATTTCTTCAAAATTTTCATTCTCAAGAGATACTCCGTTTTCATTTGGTTGCTTTTCCAAATTGGGAGTACTGGGAAATTTAAAACATCAAAATTAATTTTGATATAAAACTTATTAAATGGAATAATTTATTCACTAGAATAGATCATCATTATCATCATCATCATCATGAACAATCCTACATACATTTAACAATTTCTACTATAGGCATTTCTACATTCCTTTGTCTGATAAAGAGTCATTAGGATCTTCACTTCAAAGATGAGAGGATTATGTTTGGGGATCAGGGGAATGATCTGCACAAAGTCACACAACTACTGGCAGAGAGTCCAGACTGTCTGCATGATCTCTTGATCTCTGGTCCTGTGCTTTTCTCATTGTGCGTTCTCTACACTCCCTGGCTATTCAAATTCTAGCCCTTCCTGGATATCTCTGGCTTCCTAAAACACATGCATAATTTTATAGGTAAATTGTTCAAGATCGACCTTCTCATCTTTGCTACTTGTCTTCCTCTGACCCCACCTTGATTTTCATTGATTAATTCATGTCTAGTATCTTGGATTTATTTTTGAGGTACCTTTAACTGGCCATCAAATTCTTAATTTTCTACCTACAGTTTCTCTTAGGTGTTTCACCCTCTTCACAAGCTCCATAACTAAATTGGTGGTCATTTATGCTATATGCTCATTAGTAAGCTTTACAATGAAGTAAAACCATGCCTATGCAGCAAATGAATGCTAGACTAATTTCACCGTTCACTTCATCTGACTGCAGCAGTAAACATGTATTTGCAAGCTTCCTATTTGTTCAGTGCTCAACTCATGTATGAAAAATGACCACATCTGATAAAATTCTAGACTTCAAATTCCAAATGGAAAATGAAAAAGACTAAAAATATAAAGCAAAAATTGTGAAGGTTTTGACTTCTCATACATACTGACCATAGATGGAATGTCTAGTTATAAAAAGAGGTCTATGGAAAGAGACAGGCTTGGGATCAGAAAATCAGGTCTCTAGTGTCAGTAATGCCAAATGCTTGAGCTTTAGCAAGTCAATTTGTCTTTTTCCATCTCCTTCCCAAAAGATAAAATAAAGCAATCTTTCCATTGCTTTTTTTTTTGAGGTGTCTTTGCTTTTCCCCCCATACTAGGGAAATATTTGCTTTTCCTAATCAATGATAAGTACTGATTTTGTGAAACACATTCTAAAACATTTCTGATTTGAATACTATTTTGGTATATTTTAAAGTATCAAATGTTTTCCCCTAGAAAAAAATAAAGATGCCTGCCCTAAGTACCTCACAAGGCCCTGCAAGGTAACACTGAAAACATTATTTATAAAAGTGCTATGAAAGAAAAACATAAAAGTATTACGCAGGCTCAGAGCATAATGGTGCCTTTCTGGTATTTCACCAAGGAGGGAAGAAGAGGCTTGGCATCACGGCAGCCTGCACGAGCACGCACACGCATGCATACACGCTCAACGCCTGCCCTTCCAAGCGCTTGGGCTGCCACACCCCTCCTCCTGGTCTTACCCAACACCAGTGGGCTTTCTGTAACCAGGGGAACAGTCCTGGTTCTCATCCCAAAGAAATTTTAAGAAGTTTTGGCAAAAGATAAAGCAGAAGGATGCATGTGCAAAGCCCTCATCCCTCAGCCACCTCGGCCGCCCCGTCCTTGGAGGCTGCATGTGCTAACAAGCTGCGACGGCGATGCCAACCCCAGACTTGCGTCAACAGCTGACTTCCTTTCCTCCTCCCAACCCTACCTGGCAACCCCACCCATTCTTATTTGTCAGCCATTAGGGGAATAATTGTACCATATGCTTTGGATAAACAACTAATCATTAAATGTTCAGGGGACACTGAGAACGGCAGAAGCTGTAGAACTGTAACTGAAATCACTGAGCGTGTATTCTCAGAGGAGGGGCACCAGCGTGTGAATTCCTTCTTTGGCTACACTCTGGAGGTTGGAGTTGGATGCAAGGCTCTTGAAGCCTATGTACTTCTCTTGGTCGGTACAAAATCCAGAAAAGGGGACTGGGACTATGGCAGGAATCTGACAGTCCATACTGCTTATTGTAGCCAGGACCTTGTTTTTTCCTAATGTTTATTATCATGTCATAACAATTAATTTTAAAAGTGACATATCTCTTTTTGTTTGAATAACAGGGGCTTGGGACTGTTACTTCTCCATTAGGCAAAAAAACTAAGTACAATGATATACTCCTAAGATTTGGAGGAAAACCACTAGGTCAAACACCAAAATTACTACAAATCCCTTATCTGACAGGAGAAACATTCTATGGAAGAGACAGCCCCCTGGGGCTAAGAACAAGCATAAAATGTCCTCTGGGGTACTAGGAGGGTAAGATAGCCTGAATACTCCTGAGTTTTTTTAGCTTCTAGAATAGAGATTCTCAGCTGGGTGTGGGAGAACTATTAGAATGGTTTGAGAAATTGAAAAGAATTTCCTGCCCCATCCTTTGTGTTCACACATTTATCCTCTGTTTCCTGTTCCAAAGCAAGTTTCCTGTTCATGAGAAAACATTCTCCTCCATCAATGGGCACTTCCCTCTACAAAAACTCTCTCAAGAACCAGAAAGGGCTTCTGGAGTAAGAATCATCCTTGCTCAGGTTTCTGTATTTCTCTGAAAGCTGGCCAGAATTTTGATGACTCCAATCTTCTTCAATTCTACCTATTGTTAGTGGGAGCCTGTTGGGCAAGGATAATGGCTTTCAGACTTTAAAAGGATTGCACACCAAAAGCTGAGAGCCAAAGAAACCACAGAGGCGGCCATGCCACTCAGGCCCTCCAGGTCAGGAGCAAGGTTCAGGGAGTTTTTCTGCTCCAGGAACTGCTGTTCTTTCCCGCTGCTAGAAAAGCAACATAAGGAGGACTGTGGATTTCCACAGGGTACCAACCACATCAGGTTCTTTGGAAGGGACCCTGGGAATCTCCAATCTGTGATTTAATTCATGGTGGGCAAGCGGGAGGCATCTATAACTGTACATTGGGTGCATAGTAGGGTATTTAATCAACATGCTGACTCCTTATGAGGATTACGGAATGCTTCATTAAACAATGTGCGAGGAGGTGAGAAAGAATGACTTTGGTAAATTTCAAGGTCAACTTGAAATTGGGAATAAAAAAAGAACATCAATGGATGTAATTTATTTGTAATTTTAAAGTTTTTAACAGGTTTTCAGATGCAAAACTGTTTACAAACTTGAGTTCCCACTGAATCAAAGGAAATGTGTACTCAAGAATAGGAGACTATCTCAGGGAAGGGTATTAAAGGGAGGTATCAGCAGATCCTTCTCTAGATGGAAGAGTATGACCGGCAGAGAGCCTGAGGGATCAGTGCTAAGACTAGGTTAATTATAATCTAGAGGCGTGCAGGATGAAAAATTTAAGTATGCAAATAGTTTATTCTGGGAAATGCTAGTCATAAGAATAACCCCTTGAGGATAATATGGAAAAATCATTAAATGTAGGCAAGGTAAAAACAGTGATTTTAAAGAACTCTCTGATGAACTATCCTTAAAAGATGGAGAGCCGTCAGTTACAATGGAGGTAACAGATCTTGGAATCACTGTAAACTGTTTCCTGGTGACACTGATTCCTTAGGTTTTGATGGTGAAAACAAGACCAATAAAATTCGAGGCATAAAGTTGGGACACCAGATACAACACAAAAGCATTTTTCTACAATATCACACTGTAGCTACACCCAGTGTACTGTGTGTCTTTTGGACACTGCACTTAGAAGGACGAAAATAAATAACATCTAACATTTGTTAGATGGTTCAACATAGTTTTCAGACCTCCCTCACAGACACTATTTCACTGGAGCCCCAATACCTTGTGGGAAAGACATGTCCCTGTCCAGATGAGAAAACTATGTCTTACTTAAGTAGGTTAATTCCAGAGTCTATGGTCTTCTCAGAAATAAAACTAGGATTCCAACCTGAGCCACACCAGCCAGGGCCAAGCAGTGTTATTTTTAACTTTAATTTGTGATTTGTTGTTTTGACTTTCCAGATAAATAGGAGCTATCAAAATTTTAAACCTAAGTTTATATTTGTAAAAATAATAAAAGTAACTCTTGGATAAGTCTGGGAATCTGCTAGATTTTTCTTTTTTCCTCTAAAGGGAGACACACTGGAGCCAAAGGATTAAATCTATTAGGGTGATTCCTGTATTATATCCTAATGTTTATATTGAAACTAATCTGGATTTTCCTGTATTGTGAGGTGAAAGAGTAGAAAATGTCTCTGCTTACATTTCTCCTAGTTGTTTGACAGGGATCATCTTACATGCACGACAAAGGACAATTTGTTACTTGGGTAAATATAGATGACACCAGTAAGTTCACAGTGCTGTATATTTTACATTATAAACTATTGTGCTCTGTGTGTGGAGGAGGCTAACCGAAAACAGAATTTTATTACTTATATCATTTTATATAGTAAATTTATGTTTCAGTTTCTTATATATTGATTAATAACTTGGTGATTTTACCACTGAAGAGAGTCAGCTAACGTATAAATTAATTTCATTGATCAGATAGAATTATCAGTGGCTTAATAAACCTATTCCTCATCATAATAATGGGGTTCGCTCTGTGGCGCTTTTTATTTCTTCCTAAAAAACTCTGAAATTAACGAGTTGAACATCATAAATTATAGCAGTTGGGAACAAATATTTTATTTGAAAATCAAACTGTAACTAAAAGAATAAAACATCCCCTAATATACATCTTAGGTAATTATGACAGTAAATTTACTCAACAAAACTGAAAGCTTATTATTAAGATCTCTCTCAGGAAAATTATTCTCTTTGGTTGGCAAAATATAAAAAGTTTCACTGTCCCAGAAAGATGTCATTAGATATGATTTATGAACATTTTAGGATGACACTCTTTCATTGTTGCCAATTATGCTGTAAGGTGATGTGTAGTGTGCAATTTTAGACTTAAAAAAATTAATTTGAGGACCATCAATTTTCTGATGGTAGCAGAGGCTCTGGCATCAGAAACTGGAAAACTCATTAAGTAATTAATTAAATTCTGAAAACTAAAATAAATCATAGCTGAAATTTTCAACATTATTATAACTATTTCTACAAGTTCTTCATGACTGTATTATTAGGCACAGCTATGATTGCTCTCATTTTTCATTTTTGAAAGTGCTCTTACGATGTTGTCGATATAAATGCAAGGAAAGAGAAAGGCAGTCTTTCAACACATGCTCCTTTCTTGACTGTTAGCAACTGTGTGATTCTTCAACAAGCCCTACTACTACTATTAATATGTCATAAANAAAGTGCTCTTACGATGTTGTCGATATAAATGCAAGGAAAGAGAAAGGCAATCTTTCAACACATGCTCCTTTCTTGACTGTTAGCAACTGTGATTCTTCAACAAGCCCTACTACTACTATTAATATGTCATAAGAATTATTGATATCTAAATTGATTTTACTGTGGAACAAATACTGACTCACTAAATATTATAGCAAAAATACAGTTGTTATAGACCACTAATGGGTGTGCATATGGTCGAGATCACGCTATCNCCCTACTACTACTATTAATATGTCATAAGAATTATTGATATCTAAATTGATTTTACTGTGGAACAAATACTGACTCACTAAATATTATAGCAAAAATACAGTTGTTATAGACCACTAATGGGTGTGCATATGGTCTAGATCACGCTATATANACTAATGGGTGTGCATATGGTCGAGATCACGCTATCTATATAGAGAGAGAAAGGTAAAATTATTTTTTGCAATTTTCTTTAATAGTCACACAAAACCTTCACCATCATATTTACAGACTCAAGAAAAAAAATATTTTCCCTTTCTCACAGTACAGAATTACTAGATCCACCAAAACTCAATGAACCTAGATAAACATAAATCCTAATATGAAAACTCTGAAATTCTATGAGGCCCAGGAAATTCTGGCGGGACTGGTGGTGTGAAAACAGGAGTGTCTGCTCCAGTGCATGCCAGTGAAAAAGGCCCCAGCTGCTTAACTCACCTGTCCACAGTCACTTTTGATTGGTGTGAGGTAACCACATGTGGGCTGGCCGCCGGGTCTCCGCTGCCTGGAGAGTTCATCATACATGGAAGTGCAGATACCACTGGAAGGGGCAAAGAAGATGGAACAAAGGGTTATTACCACTCTCCTGTCAAACCCAAGCCCCAGGAGCTAGAACGCCTGATTCTGTCCTGCCTCTGCTGGTTATCAGCTGCGTGACCTTGGGCAAGTGACAAACTCTCCGTGCCTCAGTTTCCTCACAGATGGTACCTACCTCATAGGCTACTGTGAGAAGTAAATGTATTAACACATACAAAGTACTTAGAATGGTGCCCAGAACATTTTAAGGGTGAAAACCAGTGTTATTATTTTTGTTTGTACTAAGTTGACTCTGGACAAAAAGTATGTAATACTTAAAGGAAAACAATTGATGAAGATAGCAGTAAGCTGACTTGATCAGAACGTGGCTGAACATCTTTACTGAAGGATTTGTAACAAATCACCATGAAATAGCTTCAGTGATAAAAAATATTTTTTAAAACTCAGTTTAGTCCTAGTCACACTTGGAATGTCAGGGATTTCATGAGCTGTACTTAACTGTGGCACCTTGTTGTTCAACACTCAATGTCAGAGTCCAGCTTAAGCCAACAATATTGATGACTGACTCTAAAATTTGGGCCAGGGTTACTTAAAGTCTTATAAACCTTCATATAGGTCAAAGTTGCAGGGAAATCTGTGGCAGTTTATGGTTTTATTTGATGTGAGAATAGCTGAAATAATTCCAACGAAGTGTTATTTCAACAGCTGACACAAATTTGATAAAATGTCAGAGGTACAAAGAGACTGATAACTGAAGTAAAGAAGAGATTGATCATTTGAAAGCTGCCAACATTTGCAAAGCTGGAAACAGGCAGCTTCTGAGAAGACTTCTGATGGGTGTGTACACTCGCCTACCTGCCTGCCTGCCCTAGAATTCTCATTGGAGCACTGGTAACACCAGTCAGCCCTCAACCAGACGTGGGGCCAAGAGAGGAGAAATACCTGTTAGCCACATAATCTTGGGCCTCTTTTTAGTGATAACTCAAACCAATTTTTTGAGTATTGATAAATAATGGTATGGCAACTGACAAGTGTAACCTTCCCTCTTGCCTTTGGTTCTATCTCGGATTGAGGTACAAAGAATACTGAAAGAACTGATAGGAGAACAGCAGGGAGGGGAAAATAAAGAACAAGAAGCCAGGCCATGCACACACTGCAGCATCAGCCCCTCAAATAATCCTGAGCTGGTACAATTTACATCCTGATATGCTCATTCTGATGGCTCACTGGGTGCTATGCCTGCTGACAACCTACCCAGTACAACATTCTTGGAGACACCTGCTAAAAATGCAACGGGGTTAATATGCAACCACTAGGGCTACTCTCTAAACAAATACAATTAGGGCATCTTTAACAGAGCATGAAAACCTCACAATAAGCAATCATGACACAGAGAAACTAGGATAGTCTCTATTGAAATAAAAACAAATCCCACCATACAAATATTTTACATTTGAAAACCCCCAGAGCTGACAGAGAATGTTCTTTCACATAAATCATTTCATTTGATCTTTACTCTAATCTTTAAAAATAAACAGAAAAAGAAGCTGCGGTATCTGTGGTCCTTTCTTTTCATATTGATATTGCAGGTGAGGAAAGAGGAAGACTTGAGCGAGGAGGAGCTACCTACAACCACCTGTATGTACAGTCATGAAGACCACGTGGAATCACAGAAGGAACAGAATTAGCAGCTGGTCACTTGGACTCCAGCTGTGCAAACTGGGCCTGTCACTCATGTGAGTGCCCCTCGGAGGTAGGGACCTGCCTGTCTTGGTCACACTGAATCCTAGCACCTACAACAGGGCCCGGCACACAGCAGGTCTCTGAAAACGCTTGTTGACTCCAAGATAAAGCACCTTCTCTCTCACAAGGCTCAGTGGAAATTAAACAAGAAGATGCATGCAGGGTGTACCTGACACAAAAAGGGCATTTAGTAAATACTAACCAAACCCGAGTACTAAAACACTAAGGTTATTTTTACTTAAACCAAATCTGGTTTAAAATCACCAAGAAATTAATAATCACTGCCTACAGAATATAAACAACTTTCTAATGAAATTTCAAAGGTTTTAAATTTTAACTCTATTCTGAAGTCAGAACTGAAAGAAATAACATTTAAATCCTTTTTTGAGAACTGCCATAAGAACAAGTTGTCAAAATATGTACATTAAAATGAAAGTTAATTTTGTAAATGCAAAGAAAAATTTTAATTTTGTGTGTACACATGTATATGGAATATTTCTCTATAGCCATATATAGATATTTACAAATATATATACACACACAGATACATATAAGAATAAAATGATTTAAGATATCAGGCACTCCACTTGTGTATAAACAAATGTGAAAAAAATCTTCCAGAAATGCCAGAGAGAGTTTTACACAGGGGAAAACCTGTGGACTAGATGATACACACCTAACTTCTGTGAGTCAATCATATCTTTTTGTTTTTGTAATCAATCGATGAATATCTTAATCTCTAGAAAGTCAATTAAAAAATTCTATATTTGAATTGAGTTCTCTGAAATAAATACCTGTTTCTCCAGTGAGAGCTCCCTTGGCTATATCTCCATTTCTTTGATCAACAGTTTTCTACCAAAGAAAAAAAGGTAAAAGACTTAGTTACAAGTGAAGTAAAGAAAAATAAAAGCCATTAAGAATGGCTAACAATGGCCATCTCAATACCTTATCTGTAGCTTCTGTTCTCCTGGTTCTTTTCATAATCTCCTCAAGTCGCTATTGGAAGGGAAGAATTGAACAGATCAGATATAGGAAAAAGCTGGCGTGGCACAATTTCCTGACTAAGCAAACAGCAGGTGATTCAAACACGTCTGTTATTTTGGGAAAATATAATACCCATGGCTCTGTCTTAACTGTATTTATTACAAAAAGTTAGAACTGCCTTAAAAAGCCCATGGGTTGGAAGTAACCTTTTGGTGAAGGCTGAAATGTAATGATATCTTTGGAGGAGATTATCAATACCGAGAGCTACTTTAGTTTATCTGGAATGGGCAGAGCAGTTGGCTTTCTGATGGCAATGAGCTAGTCTCTTGGTCTTTAGACGGTTTCGGGTCTAGAGAGAATCGGAACAGTTTGTCGGGGCCTCTGGGTCGGACGCCGCTACCTTCTTTCTCTCCAGGCGCTCCTGCTCTTCTCTCTGGAAGTGCTTCTCCCGCTCCTGCCGGGCCCTCTCTGCTTCTTCGCGAACACGAGCTTCTTCTTCTTTCTGAAAATGAGAGGTTGGCATGTGCTTCGTGCAGGCTGGCGGGCCTGCTGCCCCGATCCCAGCGCGCCCGGGTGGAGGCCAGCGGTGGAGAGCATGGGGAAACGGGCCATTCTAGGGGCCCGCTGCCCATCTTCCTCGCTCACCGCAGATGACCCCTACCGTCCGAGCCAAGGGCAGCCCCGAGCTCCGCAGGGGCGCCTGGGGGCCCCGCCTGTTTCTGCAGCCGCTCCAATGGGACCCCTCCTGTTTCTGCTGCCTCCACCAGGGCCCACCTGTTCCTGCGGCCGCTCCATCGGGGCCCACCTGTTCCTGCGGCCGCTCCATCGGGCCCCACCTGTTTCTGCGTCCGCTCCATCGGGCCCCACCTGTTTCCTCGGCCACTCCATCGGGCCCCACCTGTTCCTGTGGCCGCTCCATCGGGGCCCACCTGTTTCTGCAGCCTCCATCGGCCCCCACCTGTTCCTGCGGCCGCTCCATCGGGCCCCACCTGTTCCTGCGGCCACTCCATCGGGCCCCACCTGTTCCTGCGGCCGCTCCATCGGGGCCCACCTGTTCCTGCAGCCTCCATCGGGGCCCACCTGTTCCTGCAGCCTCCATCGGGGCCCACCTGTTCCTGCAGCCTCCATCGGGGCCCACCTGTTTCTGCAGCCTCCATCGGGGCCCACCTGTTTCTGCAGCCTCCATCGGGGCCCACCTGTTCCTGCAGCCTCCATCGGGGCCCACCTGTTCCTGCAGCCTCCATCGGGGCCCACCTGTTCCTGCAGCCTCCATCGGGGCCCACCTGTTTCTGCAGCCTCCATCGGGGCCCACCTGTTTCTGCAGCCTCCATCGGGGCCCACCTGTTCCTGCAGCCTCCATCGGGGCCCACCTGTTCCTGCAGCCTCCATCGGGGCCCACCTGTTTCTGCAGCCTCCATCGGGGCCCACCTGTTCCTGCAGCCTCCATCGGGGCCCACCTGTTTCTGCAGCCTCCATCGGGGCCCACCTGTTTCTGCAGCCTCCATCGGGGCCCACCTGTTCCTGCAGCCTCCATCGGGGCCCACCTGTTTCTGCAGCCGCTCCACCTCCTCGCGCTCCCGCCGTGCCCGCTCCTCCGCCTGGCGCCGCAGCTGCTCTTCCCGCTCCCGGGCCTGCTCTGCCTCCAGCCGCCGGGATTCTTCCTCCCTCCGACTTCTCTCTTCTGCCACCTTTTGAGCCAATTCCTCCCTCTTCTGTCTGGAGAAAGAGAGCGAAACAAAGATACGTGAGGAGACCTCAGGGACAGAGGCGCAGGTCGTGGGTACCGCCTGGGCAGTTTGTCCGGGGTCTGGCTGAAAGGTCTCCGCTGGACAAATTCCATGCCCTTCGGGGACAAACTGTGAAGCCGCCTTCCACTCCTCCCCCTCACCTCCCAGGCTCCTGTCGCCTTGTGACAATGTAACTGTTTCTGTCTGGGAGAGAGCTTGTTTTGGAAAAGAATCTGCAATTTAACTGTCTTCAAGGGCTGTCAATAAGCAAAGGTCGCGGTGTTCTGGCACAGGACAGGAGGAGCACGGCCAGGCCCGGTCAGTCCCTGCTGGGACCGACTTCCAAGATGACCCACCCTCCCCAGGGTGCAGTTCCCGATTTGAGGAGCAATTATGTTGCCATTAGCCTTATTAGCCCCAGGAGGAGCCCAAGTAAGCAGACAGGCCCTGGCAATACTGCCTGGCACACAATCCCGGGCACTTAACTACTCTGAGAGGCCTCCTATCTGGAGGAAGGAAGGAAACAGAACCTTTCCTATTCTGCTTTAAAACAACCATTAGAAAGTGAGGAAACATGGAGATTAGAAGTGTGTTAGGGCCCGGGTGGGCGTGGCTCAGCGGTTGAGCATCAACCTAGGATCCAGGTGATTGGGGTTCGATTCCCGGTCAGGGCACATGCCCGGGTTGCAGGCTCGATCAATGACTCTCATCATTGATGTTTCTCTCTCTCTCTCTCCCCCTCCTTTCCTCTCTCTGAAATCAATAAAGATATATTTAAAAAAGAAAAAAAGAAGTGTGTTAGGTAAAAACCCCCAGCCTGTACAACTGTACCTCTACAGTAGTTATAATTATGTAAATATGTGTGTATATATTTATGTTTGTACATGTTACTGCACACTGGAGACTGGAAAAGGGTTATTCAAAATCTACACGATTACTGAAAACTCGTAAGATTATAGATTTTTTTCTTTAAATCTTTCTCCATTAATGTTGTATTGTCATTATAATAAGAAAACGTGATTTAAAAAAAATCACTCAGTGGTCACAGGAACACCAAATAAGAGTAATTTGGAAACAATCAGTCCCATTCACCTTTCTCGCGGCTACTACCTCTCCTCTCTCAGACTGAAGGCCGAATCCAAGGCAGCATGACACCACTTGGCAATGTCACCCCTTTCCCTTTACTTAGCGACGTGGCTCCTTTACCTTTCGAGCTCCTCCCGCTCCCTCTTCTCCCTCTCCTCCTTCTCCCGCTGCTCTCGCGCCAGCCGCCTCTTCTCAGCCAGCAGCCTCGTGGCCTCTTCGGGGTCGGTGGTGCCTGCCGAGGTCTTAGGAGAAGCACTGGCAGTCACAGTGGATGACGGCACTGGGACTGGCATTGGGACCGGCGCTGGGACTGGTACTGGGACTGAGGCTGGGACTGGAGCTGGGGCTGGGGCTGGAGCAGCTGCAGAAATAGGTACAAGGAGAAAACCAATTGGAAACAAAACCCAAAGAACAAAACAAAAACTAGCATTCCCCACACCCCAGGCCTAGAATTCATCATTATAAAAGAAAAGGGAATTTTTATTACTGTGTGTTCTCACGGTTTCACTGTATTCTGTCTGTAACCAAGCAACAGATAACAGGAAGCTGCATGTGTAAGCGAGACATCCAACAAAGCTGACGCTTTTCAACAAGTCTTATTTTTATACAAGTTAAATCAGTTAAGAACATATGTCAAATGTGTACTGAGCACAGAGCCTCACGTTAGGTTCTGTGGGAAGTTATACCCTGAACAAAAGAAGGTGAGATCTTCCAGTTGCCTTTGATCAGAATGTAAAAATCCTTCTCTTTGGTGACTTCATTACTCAAGGGCTAAAGCTGACCATCCTTAGTGTCCATGCCACGAGTCCAGACTCAGGGTGGGAAGATGACACCCAATGAAGACATCCCTTTTGTCTACCCGAAGCTGTGTCCCGGGTCTGAGGTGGCAGGAGCCAAGGTCCACTTCAGGAGCTGGCACTTGTATACCTTATACATCTCCGGTCTCCACAGTCCTGATGCCAAGATGCAGGATGGGAGCAAAAGTTCTCCGACCTTACTCTGATTCACGAAAATGGCCTAGAGAGCTGGCCCAGCAGGGAGCGCCACACAGCGGCACCACAGCCAGGTGCGATCTCTGGCACCTGACCATTCCAGACTCTCTTGTCAAGATTTACATTTCTCCTTCCGCTCCCACAGATTTCTCTTTATGCTCAGGATGCTCTTTGGCCTCTCTCCTCCTCTCCTTTGCATGCAGACAAACATTGGGCTCCTCCGTTCTCTAACAACCCCATTTTTTTGAGTCATCAGTTCTTTCTTTGCCCCTACCCTCTATCTTCAAATTAAGTCTTAAGGAGAAAACTTTTGAACAAACACAATTTTCAACAAGAAACACTGAATTCCTAGTTCCCGGTGATTTCAAACTTCTAAATAACATTTGGTTAGCTGGGAAGAGATGAGATCCACTGGGTCTTCTGGAAAAAGTTCTGACCTCTGTCTAGCACATAGGCTAAGCCAGTGGTCCTTTGACCCCAGGATGCACGGGAATAGGGTGATAACTGGCCACTCTGTATTTTATCTGTCAATCCTGCACAGGAGTTGCCTGGAGACCTCAGTATCTTTCCGAGTCCTTGGACCCACCATATATTCTGATTCAGTAGGTTTGGTGGTTTAAAAATATTTGCACAAATTCTTTGACAATTCTCCCTTTAAACGGTAGAGACGAATCCCTTCCACTTGAGTGTGAGTTGAACCTAGGGACTTCCTTCCAATGAACAGAATATGAGAGAAATTGTGACTTGCGTGTCTTCTAAGACTAGGCATAAAAGATACTGCAGATTCCTCCTGGTTCTCTCTCTTAGATCACTCACTCTGGGCGAAGCCAGCAGAGCAAGCAGACAGAATGTGAGGACACCAAGCAGCCCTATGGAGAGGTTCACATGCCATGCAACTGAGGCCACCTGCCAACAGCCATGTGCATGAGCCATCCGCCAACAACCCAGCTAGGCTGCTCCCAAATTCCTGATCCGAGATGCTGTGATATAATAACTGCTTATTGTTGTTTCAAGCTGCAGAGTTTTAGGATAATTTGTAAAACAGCAATAGATAATACAAATGATTCTGATACACAACTGAGTTAATAATATGCTATAGCTCCAACAGTAAGTTTTTGGATATACAATTCTACTTTCTTTTTATGTAAGAAGAGGTCCCAAAATTAGCCTCAGAATAGAATTTCCAATTCCCCAATAAGGGGGGGGGGGGAGGAGGGAAAAATGAAGAGAGTGGAAGCAACCCACATTCCATCACAAGTCAGCTGATTCTTACCAGAGGCAGCCTCAGGTTCACCAGGTGTCCCCTCTTCAACTGTGGTTTCTTCTACCTTCACTAAAGGTGCTCTGCCCTTTAGTGGGGGTTCATTGGCAACTATCTGAGGTTCCTTCTCGGGGTCTTTTCTCTCAGGTTCCACTCTGACTTCTTTCTTGACAGGGCGGATGTTGCCAGGGGATGGGGGCCGGATCTGAGCAGGGGTAGCTTTGACTGATCCGGGAGGCAAGGAAGATGTAGGTCTGGGTGTGCCAGGCAAATGAGGAAGGGACTTGGATGGGAGCCTGGGAAACACACACACAGCATAAAGAGAAGGGAACATGTCAGAACAGGCTTGCCAGAATCTTCTTTCCCTGAGCCCCTTGCCATGCAATAGTCCCAGAACACCAATATGGAAAAAAAATGAAGGTACTATTTGTCTATTTGTCTTTTATGTGACAAATGCAGAAACATTCACTTTAATGACCCATTCCAGTTTTCTGTTTTCTTTAAGGAAAAATGTTACTCCCTAAGTTAAGGCCAAATCGTGTAGGAGGAATAGCTTCCTTTTAGAGGACAGAGGCTACTACTTCTCCAGCATGAAGCCACCCAGCCAGCCTCTTATATATAACTTACCACAGTCGGGGGGAAGCTGGTGATCTGGCTTTGGGATGAGATGGAGACAAAGCCCTTCGGATGCCGGGTATGCGGTGGAAGGGTACGTTTTCCCTCTCCCTCTCTCTTTTATGGCCCTAGTTCAGAGAAACACCATAATTAGATTTTTCCTATGTGTTGGACAACCCCATTCAGGGTGTTCAACAATGGAGCTGCAATACATCAAATGACTTTTTAGATATTTCTAACCTTCCTTATGTATCTCCCTTCCATCCCAACAGAAGGCCCGCATTAGTTTTAAACCAAACCATTATACTAAATTTACACAATGTGACACTAATAAAAAGGTTCTGGATGTGTGATTTGGAATTATATTTGTAAGAAAAAAATACACTTATACTTTTAAAAAGTACCTATACTTTGTGTCTAAAATTACTGGGAGCAAAATCTCTCATAATCTGGCTTAGCCTACACAAATGTCAAAATACTTCCAGCTTTTTCTCCACAATTTTTAATTAAAACACACCTTTATATCTTTAAATTCTTTAGCACTTTTCTGGAATGTACTGTAGCTCAGAACCCTCCCCATTTTCTTAAAATTTACATGTCAGCTACATCAGACTTTAATTCATTTTTTCTCTTTATATTGATGCTATACTAACAAGTTCTTCCTCACCTACTATCCTGCTTTTAAAGGAAAAGTCAGGTTCAAGGTGAGAAATTTTAGCTATTTTTAGTCTTTTTAACTAGGGATGAAATTGTAATCTGAGAGTGGGCCAAAACATCAGCCCTCCTCTGACTGCCAACCAGGAATTCAGGCAGAGAGATGACACCTTTCCTAAACTGAAATGGGCAAAGGGAAACCCAGAGAAGTGTTCTAAACAGTCTAAAGTTAATAGGGTATAGAAGACTCATTTTCAGTATCTGAGACTCGTCAACAAGTGTTCTGGGATGGAAATGGATGCTTGCTGGAGGCACCTGTGAGCACCTGGCAGTCCTTCACCCTGTGGGACCCTTTCAGGAAAGCAGACTGCGAGTGCGCAAGGAAAGGGGTGGCATATGGTCTAGTCTCAGGGCAGTAAGTTGGCAGTGTACCTTCTCCTCTCTCCGTTTTTAGCCTGGTTCAAGCATCAACTCCTGTCTTCCTCCCCTTTTCGTTCCCTTCACTGCCCCTTCAAATTGCTTCTCTCCATTTTCCTTAGTAGCATCCTAGCTGATGGGCTGGGCAATCTGGTGGTGGGGGGGTGCATCTAAGTGTCAAATAATACTCAGTGTCTTCCGGAATAAGACAGATGCGGAGTGGGGTCATAAGATGCATGGCACCTCTATAACACTGGAGGCTGCATCACCACTCTGTCCCCCATCTCTGGTCTCAGAAGGTGGGAGGTGGGGCCTCGGAGACCCACTGCAGTCCTTGGGTAGCAGAAGCAGCAGCCACCATATGGGACCCTCCTGGCAGGTGTGCAGGGTGGTAATTACGCCTCTGGTGGGTCAGTCCCTGGAGAGGAAGGCTCAGGGCTCTTCAAAAGGGAGGCAGGGGTTAAACATTTCAAGTAGTTTTTTTCCCTTTTACTCAAAACATTTTTATTTGTCTTCAGTCAGACCAAGGAGAGATCTGAATGGAAAAATAAGGAAGGTTGATTTGTGATGTAGAGGGTTTGGGGATGAATTTCATCATCTGTATCTTGATAAGACATATCAGGGAATGAACATACATATACAAGTGTATAATATTCAGATCGTCTTCTTTTCTTAAAAAGTAGCACTGAACCAATTTTTTCTTTCCTAAAACTGACCTCCTTTTAAATCACCTTAAAGGGGTAGGGGGAACAGGGGGAAAGCAGTTTGGAAAAATGCTCAGTACTTGAGATAATACCCCCTCACGCAGATAGGTGTTTTTACCCTTTCATTGATCTTGTATCCAGTCACTTGTTTGGGTACCACACAGGCCAAGGTGCTACTGATTCTCATCCTGATCTGAGTAAATAACCAGAGATCCGTACAATAATCTTGCTCGTTAACACTTTCCACAAGGCTAAGGTGGAGCTCTTGCAGTAAGCTGCTCACGTCACTTGTCTGGACAACTTATCAGCAAGACAAAGACTTTGATTTTACAATTGATTAGGTTTAGAGTACAAATAACTGCCAAGAGAAACAATACTGACAGACAGTCCAAGGTAGCACTGTCCAATAGAATCTTTTGTGATGACAGGAATGTTCTAAGTTTATGATGTCCAATAGGATAGCCGCTAGCCACACTTGGCTATTTGGATTTAGATCTACACTGAACTTAGATTAAAATAAAATTAAAAATTAAATTCAGTCTCACAAAACATATTTCAAGTGCTCAATAGTAGCCATTTGAATTTAGTTCTAAATGAATGAAAATGAAAATCGAGAAGGAAACTGCCCAACCGGCATGGCTCAGTGGCTGAGGCCTGACCTACTCACCGCTGTGCCGGGCCCGGTCCTCCTCCGCGCAGAGCCGCTGGGCGGTGTCACCGAGAATTTCGTGCGATCCATTGGATTTCTAGAGTGTGCAGCTTTGTAGGGCATGATGTTGATGGGGCTGCAAGATGCTGCACGAGGACAAATGGGGGTAACTAGGGTGCAGGTGACTGTTTTACACGCAAGAGTGCCAGAGGAGCAGTTGAAGGAGAGCCAAAAGCAGGTTCAGGAAAAAGAGCAAAGCGGAGACAGAGAGAAAAGCAGGGAGAAGGTGTTATTACCTACAGGAGTCCAGAACCTCATTCTCAACTCTCCTCACAGTCCTGTCAGCTGCGGGGTGTCCAAGAGGAAGGCATGTCCAAATGAAACATCTGGAACGTACAAGCTCGTTGGCTACTTAAATACTGATTGAAGATGCAGATGTAATCCAGTAACTATGGAAAGCGGTGGCCTTATGTTCCTATAAACTGATGGTTCTGGTAAAATGCTACATCAGTGGTAGATAATTTTTATATAAAGACTGCTTTATAATCACATTTTTCCCTAATTAGCTTTACGACTGAACAAAAGGTGCAAAGACAGGAAGCGAGCAAGCAAGCAACTATTTCAGGAGTAAAGTTCAACAGCCAGGGGGGAAAAAACGCACAAACGACAACAGAAGTTTTCAAATGATAAATAACCAAGTCTTACCGGGTGTTAAGACTTGTTACAAGGATAACTAATAATTTCTAGAAAGAATTCTGTAAATGTTTTATCTGTTTAAAGGCAAATCAAATGCATGCTTCTGGGTTTTCCCAAAAGCCAAAGCATCAAGGTCCAGAGCAAGCAGCAGCAGAACGTATGGGGACACAGGATGTGATCATTTAAAATGGTGAACAGGAAACAAAGATGTTGGAATTGCCAAAAATAAAGTGGAATCATGAATAGCTTTTAGTTTTACTCAAGATGGAACATTTTTTGAAAGACCACAAAGTTTCTGACCGTTCACCTTCAAAGGAATACCGTCATTAACCAAGTGATTCTGAGCAATGATGGTTTAAAGACATTCATTCTTACAACAAATACTGCAGAGGCATCTAAGGCGTGGGTACTAAGGCTCCAAGGCCCATTTCCAGATTTCATCCAGAAATCTTGTTCTCCAGCAAAAAATAGGACAGTTAAACATGAGTACCGAGGAGAATCATGTAAATGATGCAACCAACTCCAGCCATAGCAGCAACCCTTTAAAGAGATCATTATGTCAGCTGAATATAACAGTGTGAATAAATTAAAAACTCGAAAGTTTACAGGACAAATCTGGGATAATCTTAATTTCAGAATTAGAGATTAAAGATATCTGTTATTTTGGTTTAATCTATAGATAGAAAGTTGACCAGACTGAATCTTTATTCACATGCTCCCTTTCATCAGCTGCCTGGCAGGATCTTCTGGTTGTCAACGGTTAAGGCAGTCGATAGGCTGGAAACTGTATTTTCTTTTCAAATCATCTGAAAACAGAACTTTACTTCTTCAGGATAAACAAAACATTTTGCATTCCCTCAGTTCTCCTGAACAGAATATGTGTGTCTTGTTTGGGAGCTGACACAGACCTCCTTTTCAGACCTTAGTAGTGAGGGAAGATTCCTTTGTATCCTGAGAAAGGAAGACCTTCTCTCATTTGGCGTGTTGTGATCACAGGGGAAATAATTTGAAAATAATCTTTTCTCAAGTGCCACAGCAAAGCATTTGCATTTCCCAGACAAGGAAAGAGCTCGTTAATGCCAAATTCTTCCAAGCCCATCAAATATATTTAGAAAATATCCTCACACTTCTGTGGGATTAATGACCACGAGAGGTGCACACTGCCTAGAGCACAACCAGAGGCCGTTAACCTTGCTGGGGGATCAAGAAACTCTAGACAACAGCTCTGCTCCGAGGCCATGGGTCTGACACTGAAAAAGGAATAAAACACAGAAATATGATTTCTTTTTCCTCTAGTGAAAAACAGTAAGTTCAGGGGGTATCTGTTGGGCATTTCTGAGACCATCCTGGACGTAAGCCAATCTCATCATGCCTCTGGTTCATTCCTGATTACGGTGCCGAGGCAACACTAATAAAAGGATGAAACTATCTTACACCTATCAGGGTAGTCTATACTAAAATCCTCAAATTTAATTGTTCAAGGAACATTGCCGGGCTAAAATAAACACTATAAATTCCTCCAAAGGATATTACATTTCATGAGCTTCATTGTTGTTCTGAACAGCAACTACTGAAAAACCTGAAAGCTTTAAGTCCATTTTTCTAATATTCTTGCCCTTCTGAAGAAATAGAGCAGTATATATAGTTGTTTTTGTTTCCCCTCAAATGCTGTCCTTCAGTCAAAGCAGATGTATTAAACATGAAAATTCTTGTATGGAAATGTCTTTGAGAAAGTCTTCCACAATATCTGATTTCCTCTATTCTTGGTAGCAAGTGTGCATTAATTCAAATCATTCAAGATTTTCTATATGAAATAATGGGTGCAGAGAAAAGACACTGCAGTTCAAGTGGCTGGAGTGTGGCATAGAGAATAGAAAAATTACATAATAGAATAATAATAGTAACATTTATTGAGTTCCTACTATGTGCAGCACTATTCTAAGCATTTTACATGTATTAAGTCATTTAATCCTGAATTCTAATGATCACATGTATTTTAAATATATTTTTTAAAATGGGCATGGAAAAGTCAATCCAAAGTAGTAGGCACAAATGAGACTCTGATTTCCAATTCTCAACTGTTCCTATTGCTTTTCTGGAAGTTTGCAATCACTGAACATCTTAGGGATGACTGTTTTGATCTGCTATTACAACCCTAGCTCTGGATGTAGGTCATCCTCTTGCCAATGGCAATTGGATATAAGATGAACTCAAGGGACAACACTAAAATGGGAAGACAAGAAAGAAAAATCAACGAGGAGATGGAAAAAGTGTTTTTGATAAGATAAATGGAAGAGATGTTTACATATATAATTTCAAATGGAAAAATTTAAAAACCAACAGTTTTGGTTCTTTAGACATAAGCTGTATCAAGGCAATAACAGGTAACAATGATCTAAGGAATGTATTAATAAAACAGGACACCCAAGGAAACGCTATGCATTGCCTCACTCTAAAGTTAATTAAAGAAATGTATCCATTTGTGACAAGGAGAATGGAAAAGTTGTAAAGAAGAGCCAGTTAGGAGGTAAAAGGCACCTGATTGAGCATAACAATGAAGAAGGAAGGTGGGAAGATGGGCAGGTAGAATGGGTGGAAAATGAGGACACGGTGTTGGAAAAGACTAGAGGAAGAGTGAAAGAATTGACAAAAGTTAGTGATGACAGAAATAGCAAAGAAAGGCAATTTTCTAGCTGTGAGGCAGTCCTTTTAAGTATGAAAACATACAATATGGAGATTCATCAGCATGACAGCCATAAGCTATTACCTAGATCCTACGATACAGAACTGAAAAGCAGTTTTAGAGGTTCTTCAATTAGCTGGACATAAAGAAAAACTTCCATGACTTGTATAAAACTATGCAGTTCATAGGCATAAAAAATAAACTATCTTGAAATAAGCTGTACTTTTTTCTCCAGAAAAATCAGATGCAACATGACAGCTGACAAGACTTACTCTACAGAAAACAGAACATTGTGGTCCAGCTAGTTGAAGGCACAACTGTACACAGCATCACACAGGGTGCCAAGGATGGAGGGTAAACTCTTTCAAGGTCTAGTCCACTGATTTTCTAAGTGGCTCTGGTAAGTCACTTTGCCCCGAGGTTCCACAGGCAGGCGGTGGGAACGCTGAGCGTGCTTTCCTGACTACCTCCCAGGGATACTGTGAGAAGTAGTGTTAATATTAGGTCATTGTGCACCACAGATGAAAGACATCATAAAACTAAGAATTGTTATTTGTAAAGAGGGCTAGTGAACATGAAGAGGCTTGCAGAGGCAACGTGTTTTTTAAAGGGAACTTTGTGAAGAGGCTACGCAATTTCTTAAGTGCCAAAAATGAGGACCAGTAGACTGGTTATATCCACATACCAGTTGTGTCCAAAGATATCTGGGAAAATCCAAATCAACTCACCATGAGATGTTGCCAAAAGCTTAATATGTATCTTTCTTTCCAGTTACATACTTTAAATTAATTGGCTCATTCAAGCACATTTTGCATTTCAAAAAAATAGAGGAGTCATAACTAATTATAATAACCAGTACTTGGCACATTTTACATACTGTATTTTCAAATTATGTAACCAATAAGAACACTATAATTAGCCTTCTCCACAAGCCTTAGAGTTTTGGAAGGGTAGTCTCCCGAGATGAAGTATAAAAGACTGGCACAGGGAGGGTAAGTAGGAGCCTACAGCCACATTATGAAACTCTGTGCTTCAACTGGCTTGTGCTTCGATTTTATCCCCAAGTCCACATATTAGTATATTAAATTATTTCTGCCTCTGATCATCTGCTTAGATGCAGGGACAGAAAGAAAGGTAGGGAAAGGACAAGTGTTTCTGGGAATGCTACGAACAGATAAGTATCTGAAGCCTCTGATCACAGGGAGCGGCATCCTTTGTCTGCCTGGCATCTGGTGTCCAGATAAGAGGCTATGATGGACACTAAGAGAAAACAATGCCAGGGGCATGAAACCAACACCAACAGACACATTTCCAGAGCCATTCCACCCGGAGCAGAGAGAAGCACAGTGGGGAAAACAGAGATGTGGTTAGATGCTGGAGGCTCAGAGATGCTTCAAAAGGAGGACTTTCCGGCCCCATGAAGGTTGCACCTGGACAGTTTTACCTGTATCTCCAGACAAGGCAGCTGTGCTTTTACTTCTGGCCAGGAACGAGTGTGTGGGCGTCAGCAGTCTGCTAACAACGCTGCTCTCCCAGGGGCTGAGCTGCAGGCGGCGAGCTAAACGTCACCACATAAGCAAGATGTTAGAGGCATTCTTTTCAGGGCCAAGAGGGTGCAGAGCTTCACACCCATCGCTCCCACACGCCGGGCCTTCGAGAGAGGCCAGGCTCTCGGTCGAGGACAGCTGAAGAGTCAGGGCGACAGGAACCCTGCCCCAAGGAGCAGCTATGCTATAGCACTGCCTTTCTGCAAATGCCAGTTTGGCGGCAGGCTATCTGTATTGGTTTTATGGATGCAGAGTTTGCTAACCACCCTCCTTTAGCAGTCAACAGGTAACACAACAGAAATGCTATTTCCACTACACGTTTGGTGTGTATCACTGACTCCAGTCATACTTATCTGTGGTCTGCCCTCGTCGGGATGGCAGTGGACTGGTGGCACACACCTCAGCCAAGGGGCTTCCTAAGCACCCTGAATAATCAACTCCGCCAGGGTCTATGGCAGCTTAGTGCAAGCCTGGATTTATAAGTAAATAAAGACAGAAAGGGTCTCCACTACATTTTGACAGATCCCCATGAATTGTTACTTGGGCCATTGGGGGAAAATCAGACATAATAAAATGAATGAGGGCTCATGCACAGTCCTGCACAGAATTTCCTTTTGACTTTTCCATTCAGCAAGCCAGGTTCTTTCAAGTTCCTGCTTGGCAGCAACATAAAAATTTGGGGGGAAGATAAGGGTAAAGTTGAAGCAAGACAAAAATAAACAGAAAAGCGAAAATCCAATATAAACATAAAATTAGAAATTACTAGTTGGTGTGTGAAGAATCTGGAAAGCAAATTTAAGACAATGCAGTGAAGGACGGTCCCAAGTTATACTGGGGCTTGGCAAGTCCACTGTTAGGAAATGCATGCCAATCATCAATTACTTTATGTCAGCTTCCAGTGATGATCCATGAAAATACAGAAGATACTTTCCAAAATTACCAGGAAAGAAGTTTGCAAATATCACAGAAGTGATCATATATCTATTTTAGAACACATTTCCAAGTCACTTATAAAATACTTCAAAACCATCTAAACCTGACCAGGCCACTGTTCCTCACCGTAAACAGTAGGCGCAAATCCCTTTGCCTCTGGAGCAATTGTTCTTATAACAATCTTTCATATGCCATATTTTAAATGAATGACATTTATATTCTAGGAAAGTAGTTTTAATTGAAGCCATCCAGTGTTAAATGTGTTATAGAAAATATTTGCTTCTATTTGGAAGAGGTACCAACTTCCAATAAGAACCTTAATTATCTGACTTGACTTTAAAAGAGTAGTTTTTTGATCAAGGCTCTGGTGAATTTAAGAATCAGTGAATTGTTTATTAGATTTTTCTGGTTATTAGGAGGGCTTTCATGGTTAAATTAAATCTTATCTGACAGCAAGATGTTAACAAAAAGATCTGTTATAAAAATCAATGTAATAGTTACAGAGATAGTATAGTGTACACTGGGAAAAGTGCTAATCATAAACTATAGTATGGCAGTGTGCAGATGGGTGTGTTTTGTGTATCAACAACAAAAATACTGTAATCTAAAATTACAAAACATTCACAGAAGAAGATCAATGCATGGGGAAAAGTGATTAGGATTAAATGAAAATCTTCAACAGAACTCTATTTTTAATAGATGAGAAAGGGAAGAAGAGATGAATGCTTCCTTTTTTAGGTAAAATAAACTCTGTAGGCTGATTGGCAGAGGTGGTTTATCATTGAAAAGACATATCTCCTCCTTTGTTAAGGAGTTCAATTACTTTATTTCTGTGCATCTTTAAGGCATCAACCAAAGAATTTGCCTCAAATGAAAATAATTAAAAACCCTCTTTGACCTGCGTTTAAAGCATATCCAAAGAGATATGTTTTAAAGCTCTGACCTGTGAATGAAAGATTTTGCTAAGACAAACACGTTTCCACTTCTACCATCTTCATAACTATGCCTTGAGCAAAAGAGACAGACCTTTTCCATGAGGTAACTTTTTAGTAAAGCTTAGGACAGGAGAGTTAGTTTATTTATTTTTTCATCTAGAGGGACCTGATTTTAAGATGATAAGCTCCAGAAGGAATGGATATTAATTCTCATGAAACAACTCTAAAATATCGATCCTGTCTAAGCAGTTAAAAATGAGATATTGACAGTTCCCATAAGAGACCGTCCGGACCACGGGAAGCAAATAATCATGTTAGATATTTGCACTAGTATGTTCTCCATCAGCAGGAAACCACTATTCAGTTCCAGTTGATGGAGAAACCAGGCAAGTATTGCCAGGCCCTGATTTTTCATTAGAAATAGAAACCTAAATGGTATATGAAATCTTCCATCTAAAAAATGATGGCAATTAATTCAAATTAAAAAAAGAACAAAGACCCCTGCTCAGGTCAAGCAGAATATGCCTATGGGCAGAATTCAGTTTGAGGTCTACCACACCATGTCCCCTGCCCTAGATTCTAAGAAAAGAATGTATGGACTAATTTTAAGTAAAGAATAGGTGACTTAATTCTTACTTTTTTCAAACTCATTTGTCCTTGAGAAAAAAGCTGGTTAAGCAGGTAGCTTAAGCTAGTAAGATATACACATTTTAATGCAAAAATTTCCAGTGGCAATATTCTCTCTATTGCAGCAATTATAGAAATCTTTGGTAGTCAGGGGTTTCCTTTTAACTCAGGTCATTTTATCAGTCTATGTGACTATATTCAGGTGTGATAATTAAAATATTTAAAAACTGGTAGGACATAGGTGGATGCCACTCATTAGCTCTGCAGGGCCTGGGGAAGCACAACTTGGGGAAGTGGATATTTACCAAGTGGTGTGGAAATATTTCTATTTTTAATAACCAGTAGAGCATTCCAGCTGAATGTCAACCTTGAAAGTATCAGAGCCTCAGTTTAACACCAGCTCCAAGGCCTGTGCTGTGAGGCTGAGAAAGCTCAATCTAATAATGGTATATAACCCTTAACAGATTAGTCTGGAAAAGGCTCTGCTTTAGTAATTTAATAAAAATGCTTTTTAAAATTTGCTGATAAAGTATAACCAACTTTTAAAAATAGCAGAAAATAAAATAAACTAGCTCAATTACTTAAATTTCCAGATCAGAGAAGTTCAAATTCAGAATTTTTATTCTCTTTAAAAGACCCGGCTTCTCTCACTGTCCTCTTGAGGGTTTTGCTTCTCTTAAAAAAAACTGCTTCCTAAATCTACAGGGACCCCTGATGTCCCAAATCTTCCCTCCAGGCCAACCTTGTCTGTTAGACCCAGAAACATTTTGATGAACGGGAAGAAAAGCAGAACTGCCCAATTTAGCGCTCTCCCTCCTGTCCTTGGTCAGCTTAGTGTTCAATTTTATAAGCCTGTACCACAATTCAAGGGGCAGTTTTCCTGGCCCCGGCTTTGAATTGGTTATTGAACTTCCCTGGACCCTTAACCTTACCCAAAGGAAGAATGCACAGGGTCAGGGGTGATCTAAGGAAGGGTGTCCATGAAGGTAAAACCTGAAGAGGCAGTGTAGCAACGACACGGTGAGAAGCTGGTGATCTCTGTTCTAGTCCCTCTAACAGTCAGTCTGTACCACACCAATTCAGGCCCTTCACCTCTTCGGGCCTCTTACCCCAACTGCAGTAGACGAGCCATCCAATACATTTTCTGCAGTTCTAAGATCCTGTTTCTTAAGAACATCCAATCAGCTACAATCATGCAAAATCTATAAAACATCTTATTTCTAGGTGACACAGTATCGTCCTCCTGATGACGTGTAGACGGGTTGCTGTCTGGCTTACTGCCCATCCCGCGCTCCCGACCTTACCCCAATTTCAGCCGTGGGACGGCAGGAGGCAGGACACAAGGCTTAACTTAAAAGTACTGTAAAATCCCAATTGCAGCTTGTCTGAGATCCAGGTTTACAAAAGTATAAAATCAGAGAGCTAAGTGACCAGTTCCAAAGAAAAGATGGACAACTGTGAGAATAGCATCCACATGCTATATTTTACATTATATTAGGGGAATGAGTTTGAAAAGAAAGGCTATTTATGAAGGAATTTTAATTCATAATGTGTTTCTTTAACATATAAAAGGCCTCTAATTTGACTACATGTCTAATACTGATTTAGGCAAATCAGGTTAAAAAGAAAAAGAATGGTTTAAGTTAAAAGGCAAGAATAGGATGTTGAAACATTTACTGCATTAGGAGATGAGTTATAAAACATCAGCCCATATAATATTGTACATAATTTTTATACAATATAAAATATACAAATACACATACACACATACAGAACATGCACACATTACATTCTTTTTCAAGACTATAAACACTGAACCTTTCCTGATCAGTTTCTTAATAAAACACTTAAAGTAACCACAACTTGTTACTTTTAAAGAGTATTTACTTTTATATTGCACAATAATTTTTTAAACTTTAAATCATTTTAATTATGTAAAACAAGTAGCTTATCTTAAAAGCTTGTTTTTTCCTACCATAATATATAAATATGTAAAATAAAACTTTGTTTTAATAAATAACAACATTCATGTACTGTAAATCCACGAGATGAATAAAGCTCAAAATTAAAATAAAATGTTAATTGGAAAACTATGATTATTAAAATTTTTAGAAGGCTTCACTGATGATATTCTTGCAGTTAGGCCAAATCCCTTAAGAGCAAATGAATGGAAACCAAAAAACCAGTCACACACACAAGAAATGTGGCAAGAAAGGTTTGGTTAAATGAGAAATAAATTAGCAAAATGAAATCTACCAACATGAATCAATTAAAAAGTGTTTTTTTTAGAAAGTCAAAGCCTGGAATTTCCAAAGTACAGATGAAAAGTCAAAGACAGCATGATTGAAGTAAAATAAATGTTCGTAACAAAGGTTATTTGCATGTTGGTGGATAAGTGGGTGATTTCTGGAGCTGTAAACTCAGTTACTAAAGAGTTGAGAGAAGCACCGCTTTCATCACTGCTAAATGCAATCATTCAGCCAAGTTCTAAAATGAGAAATGTTCTTGTCGCAAGGAAAATGCTGCTCAGCCGTTTATTGCTTTTTTACTCTGAAGTTTTTTTCTTCCTATTTAAGAAACGTAGGGAAAGCAACTTCAGATGCTTATTTTTATCTGTAAACATTCAGAAAAAAAAGCATTAAGTAAATAACAGAACACTTTTTTTGTTTTCCTTTTGACTGTACCTCTATCTGGAGAATTTAGTAAAGTTGCAGATGAAGAGGAGAGCCGCTTGCTAATGACGGGATCAACATGTTTCGAAAGATTCATGGTGGAAACTGACCGCCTGTCTGGATCTAAAACAAATGGAGATAATGCTAATTGACAGCCAGCATGCAGGATTGCAATTTCCTAGTTCGCTGATGCAAGGAAAAACTAGGACTGGATGCTTTCAGCTCTATCACTAGATCTTTCATAATAGCACAGTTTTCTAAGTGGACATTTTAAAGGTAACTTAAAGGGTAGAAATAAAATTCATTTGTCTTATAGGATAAAATAAATATTCAGTTCACCAGTTTGTCAGGCAGGGAAATTTAAGCATATTGTTATGATATGACAAATGACGGCAAGTGGAGGCCACTAAAACAATGGAGGCAGACTGTGAAGTAGAGAGGACTATAAAGGTGACAGCCTTCATAATTCCCTGAAGCAGGAACAATGGGGAAGAAATAGTGCTGGTGAAACAGAATGCAAAACACCCGAAGACAAAGGACAGCGGGCTCTGCGCATTTGCGGGTGCCTTTGCTCGCACACAGGGTCACCTTCACCCAGGGCGTGAAAATTCTTTACAGGAAAGCAGATTAACAAGAAAGAAAGAAGAGGAAACACTCTCGATGTGGCAAGGATGGCTGCTATTGCATTTCTTTTTTCAAAGTCTACTAATAACCACATCGCTAAGCCTATAACATAGAGTTTAAGGTTAGAAACAGCCCACGAAGCTGCCTGAAAAAACCGACAGTAATGTAAAGAAAACTGGAATTTGTTTTCTTTAAGTTTATTAACAATATTGCTCATCCTGCTGTCGAGTAACTTTATAGCAATTCTTAAAGTTCAAGTCAAAAGAGAAATAGCAGCCATTTACAAGGCAAAAATCAAGTCTGTTAAAGCAGTGGAACCAAGTTGTAACAATACTCATTGGCATACATCATGTTCCCTGAATAAAACTGTATATATTGAAAGTCTGAAAATCTCATATTTATGGAGGAGGCCGGTAGATGTTCTGACCTATAATAGCCAGAGGTAATAGCCAGGGTTTTGCTGTATCTTGTTTTATTTTCTATTGTTCACTTCTTAAGCTTTCAAAACCTAGTTGCCACTGGTCTAACTAACCTTGGTAAAAAAAATTTTACAGTGAACATTTCAAAATGAACACCTTAATCATGAAATTTGAGGTTCAAGGGCATGAAGAAGGATAATGAAAGCCATTTCCAGGTGATTTTGTAGTAATACATTCTATGATATTGCCTTATATGTTAAGCTCTAATTAGGGGAAAATTGTGTGTACATGCAGGCCTATTCTGCGTGGTTATGGAGGTAAAAAAAATATATTTATTACATTATGCTATACATAAGACAATTTTTAATCATTTCTTTTTCTCACTGAACCAAACACAAATTCATGAAATGTTCTGTGAAGAACTGGCTTAAACAGTATAAACTTTTACAAGCCAGTGCTAGTTGATGTCCGAGCAGTCAGACAACACACTGATTTAATCTGGTTTAAATTTAATTTCTAGGACCTGTTTGTTGGTCAGTAAACTGATCGAGTACCCACCACGAGTCAGACATTGCTGTGTAATAAGAGGTATTCAAAATGAGTAAGATCTGATTGCTGCTCTCAAGGTCACAGCAGATCATTTTGACCTTTGAGGATTTTGGCATGTTCCCATTACTTCCAAGCTTCTCTGTTCTGGTATAGCAGCATTTTCCTCTCAGTCACAGCCCTTATAAAAATGGGTTTTATCCAACAGTTTACACTCTCTTGCTCTGAGTGGCAGTGCTAACAGTCATTTATTGAACTCTGAGTGTGAGAGCAAGAATTACAGCTAAGTAATGTTATTTCCCCTCAAAGAAAATCTGTAACAGCATCTACTTCTGCCATAGGCATGTAAAACAAAGCCATATAAAAAAAAAAAATCAGTAAGGTTATAAAAATATATACCATGAGCGCTTTCCTTCATGGAGTATATATGTAAAACTATCCCTAGAATAAAACATCCTCCATAAGTGACCCTAATGATTGCAGAGTTGATATGTGCCCCACCAAATAAGAGCCAAGAAAGGAAAATGCTGTCAATTTTGGTTCACTGTCAGGAAAGTAGACTGTGGTAATCTGATGGTAGATTTTTTTAAATGAAGGGGTTATAGAAGATCCAGTGGATGTTAGGAGTGAAAGAGATAGAGCAAACAAAAATCTGTAACATGCAGATTGAAACAAAAAGTGGCAGCACAGAACAGGAGTGGGGGAGGGGGGAGGGGGAGGGGAGTACAAACTGGGTGTACTTTGATCCCAGGTAATTTATTTGCTAAAAAACAGTTTTTAAAAGTTTTATCTAAAAATGATCACTTCAGGAGAAAGTAAACCTAGTCGCATATTATTATTTCAACAGCTTTAAGTCACCCGAGTTACATTATCACACTTAAGAAACACTGTGCTATATCCCAGATCTAGGCCTATGCACAGGGTATGAAGCAAGCGTTATGACTAAGGTGGTGATGGTTCAGCTATTGATGAACTCTGGCCCTAGGTCTGAGGTGCTAGCTACAGGTCAGGCAATCAGCAATCATGGGAGGTCTGTACCAGATTTTCTAGTACCACCCAAAGTTGTGAAGTGGTGGTCCAGGCCTGCTAAATCGAGAAAGGTGAGTGATGATTCAACAAAACCACCTGGGGACAGAATGTAAAACAATGATTTTTCAAAGTAATTTAAAAAAAGAGGCTAGTAGACTCACACAAATGAAAAAGAACTGACACACTCTATAAAATTCAAGGCGTATTGAATTTACAGTACAAAAATAAAGCCTTTCGCTAATTCCAAATTTCAGTATTTTCATGTTCATTTAAGAACGAGGGAATAGCTCAGATATCTACTACTATTTGTAGCTTCAAACCCTGCACTTTCTCTTACAGAGATGGTGTTACATACACTGTAGGGTCAGGTTACATAAGCTCATAGTATTGATTTTAATTAGTCAATATGACTATGCTTCTTCTAGAATAAAAGATAAGACAGGTGAACCAATTTCATAATCCTGAAACCCTATGCAAATTAATTAAAATAATGTAGAGTTGAAACTAGTATGTTTATTTGGAAGCATTGCATAGATGTCTCTCTCTTCAAGGACTTTTGTAACAAATGAGAAAAGCAGTCTGTGTTAAGGGGGAGAACCGTATCTTCTTACCTCCATCACCCTCTTATCCTCAAACAGTAGAAGCATCATCATCATTTAATTGTAGTGTAATTATTTCAGCAGGATTTTTGTTTTGATAAGACTTAGAAAAAAGAAGCAACTGCACTTTTACTGTCCAGGAAAAAAAAAGGGGGTCGTGAAAGTGGTCCCTGCCTGGTTACCTGTACTGTGAATGCCGGGGCTCGCGTGGAGAGGGCCTCCCCATGACCAACGGTTATGCTTCTGTTTTGGCTTCTGGCTCCTTTCCATGGTACGTCGTACAACAGCTTCATGGCGCTCCTTAAATGGAATAGAGCAGCTGAATATTAGATTTTGACCTGGTTGTTTGAGGCTTCTTCTTAAAAAGAGTTTTTAAAAAAACTGATTTGGAGAGGGAGAGAATGGGAGAGAGAGGTGGGGGCATGGGGAGAGAAACATCGATCTGTTGTTCCACCCATTGATGCCTTCATTGGTTGCTTCTTATAAGTGCCCTGATTGGAGATCGGACCTGCAATCTTGGGGTATCAGGACAACGCTCTGACCAACTGAGTTACCTGGCCAGGTCAAGGCTTCTTTAACTTAAGGCAGAGTGGAGTGAGCGGGAGCACTTGACCTCAGTACTCCTAATCTAGTTCCTAACATCTGCACCTTATCTTAAGGTGAGAATAATATCAGCCTGGGTCAGTTATTGAAATCATTAGGACCCAGTTGAAAAAGCCTGTTGCATACAGTAGGAACCTAAAGAAATGATCCTTATTATTACTACTGGGAATACACGTGGTCCCACACCTGAAAAATGGAATTTAGAATCTGAGGTTACAGGTAATCCTGATTCCACAACGCGCTGAGTTGCATGGCCCTGTAACTTACCCACTCTGAGTCTAAATTTCCATTTTTGCCAAGATTCAAGGAGACAATCTAGTATGTAAAAATGCTTGTCTGTGGTAGAGCCCTACAGAAACCCAGTGGTCTTAGACGTCAGTACAGATGAACTGACCATAAGTTATAGGCCCAGACCAGGGGAAAAGGGCTTGCACAGCTTCTGTCACAATGAGAACACTCACGCCCCTCTCCGTGGCTTCCACACCCCAGCCTCCCTCCACGCGGGGCCGGCCTGCCCGCTGCTTCCTCGGAACCACCGTCCGCGCCGCGGCTCCTAATGGACAGCGGCGGCCG